TACCCTGATGCACAAATCCTGTTTGATTCTGGAATAGAGAAAATCATGCATTGATTGAAACTGAGGTTATAAAAAACAAAATAGAAAGCTGCCAGAGTAGTTTGTTGTGTAGTGTGGTATGCTGGTTGAAACACTACTTCCTGACTACATTGTAAAGACTTGCTTTTTCCCGTGTGCCTTAGGACAGACAGGCCTACTACAGAGTGGTACACATGTATGCCTCACTGTTAACGATATCTAACTAAGATGAAAAGACTCTGACTGACTCGGTCAGCCCCATTGAAGGATCAGTCAGCACTAATGTGGGCTGTGAAACCCTCAACCTCTTCAACTCAGAACTACATATTCATAGTAACCTTCACATACCCTTCAGATAACATATATCCTGCTTTTATCTAAGTTTTGTATGTTCCCTTTATGTATGTGTGTGTGGTGTGCGTGTGTGTGTGTGTGTGTGTGTGTGTGTGTGTGTGTGTGTGTGTGTGTGTGTGTGTGTGTGTGTGTGTGTGTGTGTGTGTGTGCATGATTAAAAATGCTATGCTACATCTTAAATTCGCCCTTCTGCAGTCCGATGCTGAAGTGGAGTGGCGTTTTGCCCGTTCCCGTGAGATGCTGAAGTACATCCCGGTGGGACGCACCCTGCCGCCGCCCTTCAACCTCATCCCCACCCCCAAGTCCGTCTGGGCCTGCCTGACACGGGTCGGTCTGATCTGCCGCAGTCAAAACACTACAAAGGTAACCAATTTAGAGAGGGGATTTTGTATTACTGCATTTAGATGATTTACACACACAAAGACGGAGAGAGAGGGGGGGGAGGCACACATACATACACAGTACACACAGACAGACAGACAGACACACACACACACACACACACACAGACGCACAGTATTTCGTTGATTTACACATACATACACAGTGCACACAGACACACACACACAGGCACACATACATACATAGTATATACACACAGAGAGAGAGAGAGAGAGAGAGAGAGAGGGAGAGAGACGCACTGGGACATATATACAGGCACACACACACACACACACACACATACACACATACACACACACACACACACACAGACATACACACACACACAGACATACAGACACAAAGACACACAGACACCGTAACCGAGACACACACACACACACACACACACACACACACACACACATGTACAAAGGCGCAGACACACACACACACACACAGTTACACACACACACATTCAATAACACTCTGATGCATAATACTGTATGAATATGATTCTATATCATTCTTTCTTACTAGGAAGACGAAATCGCCTTGAAGATGGCATTGGACAAGTATAAGGTAATCAAAATACCGTTTTAATGTCGTATCTGTGATGAAATTTCCCTCCCATACTTTTTTTTACGTCCTATCGTTCTAATTCCGTTCTAATTCCGTTCTAATTCTAATGTCATGAGCTACATAATGTGTCCAGGCGAATACTCTGAATATTTGCCTAACATTTGTCGCAGGTGACCATAGGTCGGCTCACCACACGATACCTTCTGGCGTACAGTCTTCAACGAGATCAAACCATGGGTAACTAGTGTTGAACACACCTGGCCGTGATTGGCTGTAGCGCCTGCGATACTGACTTCATTTGCATGTTCGTGACACTGAAATGGTACTCCGACGGTACAGGTACCGCTCTTGCATGGTGTGAATCAAACTGATCAAACATTGTAAAAATATGATACATTATTATTGTCATCTTTTAGCGATCGTAATGATAATTGTCATGATTTTAATTTCATTTAAAACATTATTAACATCTGTCTTAGAAAAGACTTTGTGCTTATTATAACGATAATTAATGTACTGATTGAGTTTTAGATTCATATCAAGGTAAGGCAAGCATTTTCTAAGTATCATGAAAGTTCATCTGTGTTGGTAGTAATCAAAGTAAAACCTTTAACTTTATTCCAACACACAATTGCTCACGTCACGTATCAGTAAAGTCTCGTCTGAATAAGGTCACGTGTTTGTAACCGTAACCCTCGCGAGATCACGTTGTGAAGTGATTGGTCATTAATTATCCTGATGAAGGCGACAGTGGTCGCTGGAAATTTGATCCCTGCACAATTTTGTGTTGGAATAAAGTTCAACGTTTTACTAACATTTCCGAAGTAACTTTATAAAAAATGTGTGTTTTGAATGTAACGTGGCATTACACGAAGACTTAAGGTAGACAAAATGTTACTGTAACAGCAGTAGTGGACTGAAGCAAGGGTATATCTATACAATACGATGAGAATATCATCGAAATACTGTGATTTAGTACAAAATAATGTATCATAAGATAGCTGACTAGTAGAACAATAAACTTTAGAAGAGTATGAAACATACGAGCCTCTAAGTATATAAAGATCGATTTCTCTGGCATTCTCACTATCATGCCTTAGGCCATGTTGATTTGATTATATGAATGACATCCACGCGCGCATGAATTTTTGTCCGTTTCCAAAAAAAAAAGTTATCGGCCATACTGTAAATGGTACAAAACAGCTGTAAAATGAGCAAATATATGCCGTAAATTGTAAACAAAAAAGATATAGGAAAACGATATACAAATGTCGTAGAATGCAAAAATAAATTCCAAAGGAAATTAAGAAAACGTGTAATCGCCATACCACACTCTGTGTGTTCAGTTATTTGGTCAACCTTCATGACCACGTATATTTCATAATGAAGGTAGCTTTTATTGTAATATCACAACCCATTATGGAAAAGCCTTTTTAATGCATCGCAAAAAAGCTATGACAGTGCGTTCTATCGCATTTTTAGCCCGAAACTGACCCATAGATGCTAGGTTCTCTCTGCTATGTGCAAATGCCGTTCCAGCAAAATTGCTGGAATTTTTAGAATATTATCAAATCAATCACAGTACTATACCTACGGCTCCGCCCAAGTGGCGTCGCCAAAAAGGGTTATTCAGGGTCTTCAAAGTTCTTTGGGATGCGTTCTGAGATGGGGACGTCGGAGGCTGCGGACACGGTGCTAGACGTCGCGGACAGAGGCCTGGTGCCTCCCTCCGTGAGTTTCCAAGCGTACACCGTGCCCCACACCATCAGAATCAGCATGCCGGTGATCTGTAGCCCAGGGAGGAGCAGCCACAGGTTCACCGAGGATTTCTTCTCCTCTTTCCGGCGCCCGGCCCTGTGTTTCGCGGTGAGTGGCTCGAGAGGTGCGGTGGACGTCCCCGCATTGTGTTTAGCGGGCTCACGTGGTGGACCGTCGGTGGAGTACGTGTACATGTGCCCGGTGGTGCTGACTGCAATACCCTGAGGGCCTACATGGGGGTTACGGATTACGCATAATTTTTTAAGCCGATTACGAATTGCCTTAAATTCTCAGAACTGATGACAAAGTACGTTAAATCTTGGAGTACTTTATGGATTACGTTTTTATTGCGTAAAGGTAACTGCCTACGTAGAATGAAAACTAACAAATACGTGTTACGGCTAATGACTAAAGTGCTGAATAAGAATTATGTTGATTTTGGGTGACTGCTTACGAAAAAGCGCAGGCCCTCATACCTTGTGTGGTGATCTCTGTCGTGAGACTTTTGCTTGCTGTGCTTTCTTCACTACTTTGATGAACGTTCGTCTCTGAAAATACATCAAACCACGGTTACGTTTATACCTTGAGTTATCGTGCATTTAAGGGGCTACCTCTCTGTCTTCCACTGTGTTCTGCCTGTTGATAGCTAAATTAGGCCAGAGCAAGTAAATTCAGTTACTTGTAATGGATGACATCCTCCGCAGACTCCAAATTTAATTAGATATGGCGAAAAAAACAAGCCGATTAAAACATTAGTTCATAAACCTTGTTTATCTACAATTGAGGCAACAAAACATGATATCACAACCAACAGGTCTTTCATTTCTGTATTCAAAGTCTTACTTGTCATTCTAGACGTGTATACCCGGGTACAATTCATTAGCCTGATTAAATCGCTTTTGCCGGCCGCCCAGCATCCAGCCGGCCCCCGAAAATGCGGGGAGGGGCCAGTAAAGCCGCGGACAGCAGAGTTTGCGTTATACAGACTAACATCTCATGATCAATTAACAAGAACAATGGTAGAAAAACGACATATGTGCCTACATTGTAGTTCGGCATGTTGACAACCGTCGGAGGGCAACAAAAATCTTTTTTTTTTAAATCAGGCTAAAATCAATGCTCACCTGACTGGCAGATGTAGCGCAAGTTTTTGTTGCATTTAAATCTTTTCCATTTCGGTTTGACGTTGCCGCTACTGTGCAGTACAGCCACACAGTCCCTCTCGTCCTCGGCTGGGTCCTGACCGGGCATCCACCGACTGAACGATCCCAGAGGGGTGCCGTCCGCGAAATGGAAGCGGCGGTCAGCTGTTCCGGAAGGTTTCCTTCTCAGTCCGATCCAGAAGTTAACTGGGCCCCCACCCCGGCCAATGGCGGTCTGAAAACAGCAATGAATCAAGTTAAAGTTTTATGTCGTTTCCTGATGTCCTTTCAACCTGATTGGGCCTGGTTATCAAACACATCTCTACGAAGGCCCACAACGACACTTCCATATACCTCTTCCACAGCCTTGCCATGCCGCGGAAGAGCGGTATGGAAGGTATATCTCTTGGCAGCGCGGTATGGCAGGGCCGCGGAAGAGCGGTATGGCAGGTAGATCCCTTGGCAGCGCGGTGTGGAAGGGCTGTGGAAGAGGTGTATGGAAGTGTCGTTGTGGGCTTTCGTACATCTCTGTTGAAAGCAAGCTAGATATTCAACAATACATAACAATTCCAAGATCGTATTGATATATCGATATTCACTCATCCATTCATTCGTATGTTCATTGATTCTTTTATTGACTGATGCACCTACCCATCCATCTATTAATTTATCTTATTCATTTCTATTCATTTATTTTATCTCTTCATTCATTCATACTGTATATCGAGTATGACCAAAAGGGCTAACCGTTCTAGCCAACACTGAGTAAATTCGGACCAAATTCGGACCAAATTCGACCGACTCCGTCAGACTTGTTCACGGAATGAACCCGTCTACTGCAGCTTCCGGGACGTGACGTCGGAAACACGTGATTGTAGCAAAGGGTCGTACGTGTCAGATAACCTGTGTCGCCCCCCGTCTCTGTTCAGTGTTGGACGGTTGGCCCGAATGTACACCGCCGCCTTCACACGGCCCTTTGCTGCAATCACGTGTTTCCGACGTCACGTCCCGGAAGCTGCAGTAGAAGGGTCCATTTCGTGAACAAGCCTGACGGAGTCGGTCGAAAATTTGGTCCCAATTTACTTAGTGTTGGATAGAACGGTTAGCCCTCTTGGCCATAATGAAGTATACCAACACAGATGAACTTTCATGCTAAAATGTATATCGAGTAGCAGTGACACTAAATACGACGATGTAATATTAGTCTCCACCAGACTCCTTTGCAGGCTGAATAAATAGTAGAAATCGGCTAAGGGGGACAATATTGTCCAGAGGAGTTGGCCGGCCATAGAGGGTCCAGCTTGCTTACCTTGCTTGCCAGCCGATTTCTACTATTTATTCAGCCTGCAAAAGTGTCTGGTGGAGACACTAAAATATCGTGAACGACTTGAATTCTAGACATTTCTGATAAAGAAAGAGAAAGGTGGGGTGTGAGGGTGATAAGACGGCTCTACAAGAAGGTGGAAGATTCGAGGAAAGACCTTGAAGGGGAAGTTACGTCGGCCGGGGGGTCCTCTAGATCTGCAGCGCTGCATCGGCGGTGGGCCTTTCCCGTTCCTCCAAGACTTAGCCTTATTACGACTTAAGCCTGGCGGAATTCGGCAGTCCTTACGCTTCAGGTGGCCGGTGATTAAGAAAAGTTGAAGAAGTTGGAAGTAGGGAGTAGTAAGTAAAAGACGTAAAAGCATATATGCCAAAGAGATACCTAGCCATAGATAGGAATATAAAGATATAACGTAATGCATTGGACAAGAAAGGGCCCAGGTGGTCAAATGATATGACTGCATTGGTAAAGATTCAGAGGGCGTATTTTGCACATATTCTTTTGATATAACACAAATAATTACGCATTTTGCACGAATTCTTTTGATAACACTATAAGAAATTCTATAACATACTTCTTCTGTCTCATAACACCAACGACAGCAGACAATGGAACCTTCCCACAATGCATAGCGGCTTCCGGTCCGTAGAAGATAATATATTTGTGGACCATTACGACATTGATAATACGTTTTGTGCCAGTACATCGTTTTATGCAAAGGATCCATAGAAGACAAGGGGTCAAAATTCTACTGCAAAATGTCTGCAATTACCAATGTTGAAGGGAAGTTGTCACTTAGAACAGAATGTGTATGATTTGAAAGAAGACTTGGAGTTGTAAAACTGAATCTCCACCAAAGTGAAGCTAGCCGGCGTTACAGCCTTCGATTCGTAGCCGGCGTTTCAGCCGGCGTTTCGCCGCTAGATGGAACATAGCAACTGATTCGGGTACCGATTCGAAAACCCAAAAAATCAGTAATTTAGCCAAAAAATATGGCAGGTGAACTTGAAAAAAGCGTTATGATAGCTTAGTACATCACAAGTCTACTACAAGTTTCAGATTTTACCTGCCGGATTTAATTAGGCCGTTGACAGCGGGCCTAATTAGGCATAAGAGATATGTGTACTCAGCAGTTATATCTCCACCAAACTGAACGTGGCCTTTACAGACGGATTACGGTAGTCAACAACCAAGACTATATACACTAAAAGTATCAAATTCAATGGGTCGGATTTGATTAAGGGGGCACAAGGGTACTTACGTATGATAGGGCTGAATTTCAAATCCTACGCCATCTGAGTGGGCTGCTGGAAAGGGTATAAAGTGAATCTGACGTCTAACAAAATGTGGCCCGTTAAATTCAAAGATTGATACTTGTAGCAATACACTTACTCTATGTCCTAATGGTATGAAATTCAATGGGCCGGATTTAATTAACTTGGCACGACGGTACTTAATGAGTATGACAGGGCAGAATTTCAAATCTCCCGCCACGATGCACTGTTTACACCAAACTAATGCCGGCTAGCCAAACTAAACGTGGCCCGCTAACTTTAAACAAGGATTACGATAGTTAACAACTAAGACTTTATACTAAACGGGTCAAATTCAATGGGCCGGATTTAATTAATGAGGCACGACGGTACTTAATAGGTAAGATAGGGCAGAATTTCAAATCTCCCGCCACGATGCACTGTCTACAACAAACTAATGCCGGCTAGCCAAACTAAACGTGGCCCGCTAACTTTAAACAAGGATTACGATAGTGAACAACTAAGACTTTATGCTAAACGGGTCAAATTCAACGGGCCGGATTTGATTAATGAGGCACGACCGTACTTAATGAGTATGAGAGGGCAGAAATTCAAATC